TTTTTGTATATATTTGAAATCTTCCATGGTATAAAGTTTTTAAAGACATATTTTATATTATATATTTTATAAACTATATCTCTTGAAGCAGTTTTTTTAGAGCATGACGGGGAGGGGGGATGGAGATCTTTCCCTTCATTAGACACTCCTGCACTTCCCCCTCCCCCAGCAGGTGAGAATTATCTGCCTAAGTGATGAAGGCAGAAGAGTTTTGTGGTGTTCTTTTCACATCAATCTCTTTTCAGACAACTTAATAAGTAGAGTACATAGATACCCTATTGTTTTTCATCTCGTGTTATAAAGTGTAGTGTGTGTGTGTGTGTGTGTGTGTGTGTGTGTGTGTGTTAGTGTTAGAAAGTAAGCTCCATCTCTGTGACTCCCCCCAGTCCATGATGGTTGGTTAACAGTGGTTCAGTTCAGAGGTCTGGTCACAAACGCGTGTGCTGCCATGGCTGGTGATGGATGGCAGCCACTGTGGGGGAAGTGGGAGGAACAACAGCAAGATGCAGTGGCAATTGGAAAGCATGTGTCTAGTCCCTAGAATAGCAGTGGCTATGCAGCCAAAAGTTTGCTGTGGGAGTGAGGGCCCAGTGGTACCAGAACTTCCACTCTTTTTTCATTTTTCCTGAGAATAATTCTAAATCCAGACTTCAGTGTGACATCTCCTGACTTTTAGTTGCCTAAAGTATTTTTAGAACAGCCTGGTGACTCTCATGGCCAGTTGGGCTGCTCTTTCCGTGCTGGCATTGTGATTCTTAGAGGAAACATTGTGGCTGATCTGTGCACATCAGGAACACTTCCAGCTGCTTGATGCGGACAGGGACCTCAGGAAGCCGCCGGGCAGCATGTGCTTTGTTTTCTTTTTGCTCCCATAACCGATGTTGGGCATCAGGATCTGTCCCGGGAATCTTCTGCACACCCTGCTGTCAGTATCCCTGGGTTTCCACTCTTGATGCTTAATTTTCGCATATCATTCTGACTGGTTCCGGATGACCTTCTTAGTCTTCTTTCTGATGATATTGGGCTTCCCCAGAGAGCTGAGGGCAGCCATGATGCCAAGTAGGAAATGGCAGCCAATTCAGTCACAGTCTTTTCCAAAGCAAATCCTTGGCAGCTGCGTCAGTCCCAGGGTTCTGCCTCTGACGTGGCATCTACCAGCAGTAAGGCTGTAAATTAGACACTGTGGGCACTGAGATGCCAATGCCCCGTGGTCCTACTTTCTATGAGATTCCTGTCTAGTTGGGAGAAAAGAAAACGTATGTGAACAACTCAAATGAGATGTGCAGATAGAAATGCTATAGGAAGTCAGAGAAGGAAGTGAATAACCCATGTAGGACAATCAGGAAAAGCTTAACCCTGGCCATGGAAGAAATTGGGGGAAACACTGGCAATCACTAGGCAGAGGGTGAGGGAGAAAAGCAAAGGAAAGACCAAGGCTTATTGGCAGAAAGCGCAACCCTTTAAGAGGGGAGTTGGTAAATTTTACAGAGTAATGACCCTCCGTAGTCCACCAGAGAGTGTTCTAAACAACCAGATGAACATAGGCAGCAAGCTGTTGAAAATCAGCAGAGGATTCAAGTGTTGCCTGTGTGGTGCATGTCGTCTGCTATCAGCAAGTGGTTCATGTTTAAGTATAGCCATGCATTTTGAAACTAGCATTTGCAAAACTACCAACCCATTATTTGCTATGCTAAATCATGCTGAACGCTCAGAGCATACCCAATTGCATCAAAAACTTTCCTCATGCTAGAAAGTGAAAAGGGTTGGAGGAAGAGAAACTGGCATTACATGGATAAAGAGAAACCAGCATTTGGAAGAAGATGCCTGTGGCAGTGGCTTTATTGGGAGGTTTGTGATCTCCCCCAACGATGGCCTAAACGATACACGATTTTTTAAGTGTTGTGAAAACACTGAAGAAGTGGAAACACTTCAGCAGATTTATGATCCTTCATATCAATGCTCCCCAATATGCTTGGGCAGAAGTTTTATTCGTTCTCATACAAAGTTTGAAGTGTAATTTCTCTTATGAATATAGACAGGAAGTTGCTATGTTCGTCCCATTATGGGAATTTGCTTCTTCTAAGAGATGAAGCATTTCAGAGCCCAAGAATTGCAGCCATTATTTCATGTGAAAGATTGTCTATTTGGACATGAATATGTTTTACTATTAGAATTTATACAAGCTGATGGGAAGAGGGTGGGGGCAGGGGGCAAGAGGGAGAAATGACCCAAACAATGTATGCACATGTGAAAAAATGAATTAAAAAAAGAATTTATACAAGCCAGCAGTAACTTATGGACCAACATGTACTCTTCTGGGCACTGAACTTCAGAGAGAAGGAAAGGCTTATTCTTAGACATGTATACAAGCCAGGTGAGTTTAGACCAGTGAGCTTTGGCCAAGCAGACGTTATGCCCAGGACATCAATCAAAAATAACTCGGACTCCAAGTTCCGCACAACCCTGATCTGCCCCAGCGTGCTGTTATGAAACTGTACATAGACATGTTTCCAAAACATTCCCCGAGTCCAAGAAACCAAGAAAAACACCCATGGCAGCTCGCCTCCACATCATAATGAAACTGTTCTTTTAGCAGAAATTCATAACCGAGCAAAATTCTGCTAAATAAGATTGCTGTTTATTTGGGAGACTATTATTGCTGACTCCAAGACATTGGCGCTGTTAGGTTTCTGTCACTGTCCCTTCCTCTCTGTTTTGCGATAATAATAATAACAACAATAATAATACAGTATTTGAGCTAATTAGCTTTAAGTTACTAGTGGCAAAACGAGTTTCATGTCCTTTCTGCCTTGTAAATGTGCAAATTCAACTACGTATTCAAATATTCACTAAATCAGGGGGAATTCTTTGGGGAATCTAGCATTCTGAGCGTAGATACCAGGACAGACTGCAATGTAGAAGTCAGTAACTGAGACTGAGAAGTTGGCACTAGACACTGGATTTGACCATTTCTACAAAGATTGCACAGATTGTTTTGTAGTTATGATCACTTTATGGTACATAACTGTTAAAGAGGAAATATATTGCCTGAAGGAAAGAGAGAGGGAGGGAGGAAGAACACAGCTTCTAATTTTCAGATGAGTAAAGGTTCCATAGTCAGGATTTGGAAGCTCTCCAGTGTCCAGTAGGCTCCAGGAAACTCAGGGAATTGTCACGGTATTAGAGCCAGTCTGAGGTGCCGAAGTCAAAACAGGCCGTGCTGGCCATAGTGAAGGCCACGTGGGAGCGTATGTAGGTCACTTACACGTTTTGAATTTAGACAGGCTGGGTTTCCACAATTGTTTTACAATTAAGCGCTGGAGAAACACTGAACGTTCGGAATTTTTTAAAAGGTGCTCGTTTCACAAGATATAAGAAAATTGCAACACCCACTTGAATGGTGGCCTTAGTGGCTCACTGTGCTTGAAGGAGCCAGGCGGGGAATTCTGTCTGTACCAACAGTCCTTGCCCAACCCAGTGCTGGCAGTTTCCTTGGAGAGTGGTTGGAGCTCACAGTGAGGCTCAGGACTAAACACAAGTGTTTTCTTAAGCCCCACTCAATAAACACTCTTTTTATGCAATGAAAAATAATTAATAGAAGTAGAAAGCAGTGTTCATAGGCTCTGGGGTTTAATCCCAGTAGTGTTTGTTGAGCATGTACCATGACCTAGCGTGGGAAGTTCAGCAAATAAGAAGGGAAGGCAGGGAGACAGTTTACCCAATACTGTCCCAGGTCCTTTCTTCTCCCACACACTGTTGTCCTCTCACTCCAGGTCACCTGTCTCTTAAAACACTTTCCTCTGTTTTACTTTCTGCAACTACTCTAACCTCCCACATGTGAACACATGTGATGAAAGGCACAAATTGGCTCCACAGGAGACTCAGGCCTCTTAGGGAAGGGACCAAATTAGCAGCATCACAAATTCTGCTTTTGTTTTTGTCAGCTGATACTGTTAAGTTCCTACTTAATGGAAGTATTTGCTTTTCCATAAATACATGTAAATTTCCTACCTCTTATTTGTCAGAGCCCAAGAAAGCCCTGTAAGTGGTAATCAAGGAGTGGAGCTTATTTAAAGCAAATCACTGTAATTGAAATTCTCAGGGGAAGCTGTGCCATCCTTGTGATGTCTGCATTTACCAATTGTTCTCCCCTATTGTAACTATAAAGTTGCTGCTGAAATTTATTTTAATTAACAATCCTGTAATTTAAAAAGTAATGTGCTTATGGTAAAGGAATCAAGTCCATGTACTTATAATCACAGCAACCCGGATTCAGTCCCTTGTTTAAAACGCTCTAGCGGTTTCTTGGGGCCCTCAGAATGCAGTGTTACTTCCCAACCACACTGGCCTCAACACAGCATGCATACTCCTCCCCAGGCCTGTGCCCTGATGTCTCTCTGCCTGGCATTCCCATATCCCTGTAGGGCTGGCTTTGTTTCACCACTCAGTTCTTGCCACCAGTGTTCCCCACCACCAAGGTAGCTCCCTGACAGCCCTCTCTAGTGTCCCTGCCTGTGACCTTCATTCATCACACCTCTTTACTTTATGAACATGACATTTATGCCGCCCTGAAGTCACTTTTCTTGCTTGCTGCTTCATTTTCTGTCTCCCCGCTAGACTGGAAACTCCACAGAGGCAGAAGTCTTAGCCATCTGATTTACGTTTTATGCCTGACATTTTGAAAAGGGCTTGGCACATGACAGCCCCTTGGTAAATGTTGGTTTAAGTGAATGGATGGAGTTAGGAGAATTAAGTCATGATTTTAGTATGGAGCCTGACACAGTGAGGACCCAACAGATGGAAGTTTGCTTCTCTCCCACCCCATCTACCTAAGCCCTGTGTGTTGAAGAGTGATTTAATCTATGCTGTGGACATTACCATGCTTTGAGTTACATGGAGTACAGTAAATCACACCTAGTTGAATACAAAGTAGTCCTCCCTTTGTGTTCATGTAAGAATAAGGTAAAATAGTTTTATCTGGGTTTTTTTTTTTTTTTCAGGCCGTCTTTGCTGGAAGGAACCATGACTTGGCATTTTCCTTTCTTCCTCTTGGCCACAGTGACTTTGCCCTCCGTGTTTTCCCAGTTCAACCCTCTGTCTCTCGAGGAACTAGGCTCCGACATAGGGATCCAAGTTTTCAATCAGATCATCAAGTCGCGGCCTCATGACAACATCGTTGTCTCACCCCATGGGATTGCGTCTGTCCTGGGGATGCTGCAGCTGGGGGCCGATGGCAGGACGAAGAAGCAGCTCACGACAGCCATGAGATACAGTGTGAATGGTATGTGTGCCGTACACCCACTGGCGGGACCTCTGCCGGGAGCTCCGCATTGGGGTGGGGGATGTTCATTGCTTGGTCTTTGCTTACAGCCAGAGAGGCAGCACATCCAGGACTATATGCAGTCCCTTCTGGGCCTTTTTGGCTAGTCTGTCCTAAAGGGAAGATGTTGAGGTTCTGGACTGTGGTCTCAGATCTGTGGGGCGCCTCTCCTCTAAAGGGAAAGCTTCCTGTCCCACCCACCTCCATAGTAGACGTGGCTGAAAGGCATTGTATTGTACCCTTTTAAAATAGGTTGGCAGGGGAGGCTGAGAGGTGACCGTGGAGGATAGTATGAGCAACCTTACGGTAATGGAGTTGTTGTGGTTTTGTCGCGTTGAGCTCCACGTACATGCGTGTACATGCACACAATCATGTATGAAAAGTGACCCAAATCAGAATGAGCTTTGTGGACTGTACTAATGGCAATTTCCTGTTACAGTGACCATATCATTGGAGATAACTGGGAGAAGGGCACATGGGACAACCCTATCTGTTGTTTTGAAGCCTCTTATAAATCTAAAATCAAAAGCTAAATAAAATTTTTTAAGACTAAATCCTAGCCACTGGGCATGGTGGTGTATGCCTTTAATCTCAGTACTTGAAGGCCAAAACAGGAAGATCACAAGTCCAAGGCCAGCCTGGTCTACATAGCAAGTCTCTGTTTCAATAAAAACCAAACAATAACACAAGAAGCAATGAGAAAGGTTTAATTTTATTGAAAGAAAAACCTGTTGATAATCCACGAATTTAACCATATGCACTGTGCCTCCTGGGACTGTTTCCTTAATCGGTGCTGTCCTCTACCTAACTTTTCCACAGTTCAGAGCACACGGGTACAGGACTGGCTTCTAAGATCTTCTTTGCATGGTGACTTTGAACAAGTCCCATCTCATATCACTTACTTCATTAGAGAGGGAGAGCGTTTCTCTCCGGTGTTCTTCCACCCCTACTAGCTAAGACTTGACTGTCCTGGGAGGGTGAGATTAGCAGAGGAGGAGTTAGTGGTGTTCCAGGCTTCAGGCCATGTCCTCTTTGCTGTGTTCTCAGCATGGCTTCAACCATGGCTGTGGGCATCAAACGCCAGGCTTCCCTGTTCTGTTGGCATGTCAATAAACTTTGTGTGACTTTGCAATTTGTTCACCTGTTGGAAGTGAGGAATGGGTAAATTCTTGGAACATACTGTCCTGCCCCTTGCTTAGAAGTTCAGAAGCTCTTGGTGATTAATAACTCCATAGTGAATCACTGCTATAATTTATGCTTTCCTGAGGCAGTCCAGACTCTGTCAGCCAGTATAGTTTTAAAATAGCAACTGGTGTTTGTTTTTTGTTTTCCCACTGAGCCTCTTTGATGTGAAGTCATTATTTCTGCAGTTTTCATGACATTGGCTTATTGGTCCATCAAACCCACTCCCACCTTTCTTCCTCCAGAATTGCTAGGAGTCATCCAGAAAATGTGACTTTGGTGTGCATAGTATACTTACTCATCATGGAGAGCACTGTTGGAGCTCAGCCTCTGTGAACTTTAAAGTAGTGGCACTCACTGAGGAAGGAGGCAGGACTGTTTGGGTACTTGTCCCTGCAGAAGATCCCAGGGCTTGTGGCTTGTGGTAGAAGTAGGGTTAAAGGGGCCTTAGAAGTGTCTTTTGGCCTCTGAACCCCACTGTTGTGTGTTCCCTTACTTGTAAAATGGGCCTGCCCACAAAACAGTGTGAGGGGTAGTAATGAGAGGGCTCAGAAAGGCCTGTTCGTGTTGTGAAGTCCTTGCTGGGGATTGTGGGAAGAAGCCCTGGCCCTGTACTTATTTAAAGGGTCTGAAGAAGCACGTTGAGAGTGACAAGTGAGCTCTTCAGGACACCATCAAGGTGACTGGCAGGATATTTCAGGACAGAACAATTTTGAAAGGACCCCAAATGATTAGGAAGGAGCTGAAATTCTATTCTCTGTAGAAACACATTTCATCTTTACGACATAGTTTTCTCTCTTTCATGCTCCAAAATGAAATGGAGCATGTATGAATGGCTCATGTAAAATAAAGCTTACATTGCCATAAAATTAATTTCTTTACTTTTTGAGTTCCATATTAAGTAAAAATCACATCGTTCTGGCTGGTGGCACATGGCAATTTTTAATAGTCTTCTTAATGCCTGTTTTATTCATTTTTTTCCCAAATAGCAGAAAGAAATCACATTGTTAAATCCATAGCAGGAAAGGAAGTGGAAAATTGTTAGGAGAGAGAATGAAGGAGGAAGTCCCCTTTGATTTATTCCCCCATGGCTACAGAGTGGAGGAGCAGGCCAGCATTCACGTTCACCTGATGCCCAGATGGCTACCAGGGGAAAAGGGAAGGTGTTGAGAACACCCTAAATATGTCTGTTTTGGTACAGAAGCACAATTAATTTTTAAGGACTTTTCAGTGTTTATTTTAACCCCATCCCTCCTTTTCTTAAGAAAAAGACCATGTCAAAGGCAGAAGACTGAAGTACTCAGATTTATCCGGTGTATATTGTTCTTATTTGCTAGAAGAAAAGGTTTAAAAATAAGCAAAACATCTTTAAATTCTTACATGATATTGCAGTTTTCTGATTTCTCTTTCAGGAGTCGGTAAAGTGCTAAGGAAGATCAACAAGGCCATCGTCTCCAAGAAGAATAAAGACATTGTGACCGTGGCCAATGCCGTGTTTGTCAAGAATGGCTTTAAAATGGAAGTGCCCTTTGTTACGAGGAACAAAGATGTGTTTCAGTGTGAAGTCCGGAGTGTGGACTTTGAGGACCCCATCTCCACCTGTGACTCCATCAATGCATGGGTGAAAAATGAAACCAGGGGTGAGTGGCCACAAGTACGTCTTGTGGGTTCTTAGTTTGTGAATGAAGGAGTGAGATGGCGAGATTGTCAAGGCCAGTGGCCCCCTGTTGAGAACCACCCAGGCCCAAGTAGATTCTCACCTTTCTGTCTTTCTCTGTGGTCCCAGGACTCAGTCTATCTGCCTTCCCGTTTCATGCTGCCACCACTCACTGCCTGTGGTGGGGGGGGTGTTCCCCCTGCAGTGTAGGCAGCAGAGCAGAACACAGCCCTGCCAACCTCTCTCCTTTGCCTACTGTATCTCATTTCCAGTGCCCTTGCCCAGAGGCTGCTGTCTGTTTTGGTGGTTTTTTGTTCGTTCCTTCCTGCTTTTGTATCTTCTGTTTCCTTGGCCTTGAACATCCTCTCGCCCTTTGGAATGGTTGACCTCTGGCCTCTTGTTTCTGTCATTGCCACACTGTAGCTACCCCTTGCTGGGTATGTTTGGCCTATGATTACACCTTTTATGAAGCCCGCCATTATAGCACGTTCTGCATCACATAATGACCGCTTGCTTAGGTGTCTCTTCTCTCATTAGGTGTCTGTTCTCACTCCCAATGTCAGTGTTTTAAACCTGCTGATTTGTAAACTGGAGGTCTCTGTGGAACTGTTCAGGAGGATGCATGGGCCGAGAAGACAAAGGAATGCCAAGGCTAGAAGTGAGATTCTGGTTTTGTAGAAGAGAGACTCTCAACAGGGAGAAGAAACCAAAAGAGAAAAGTGGGGAAGGTCAGCCTCTCACAGCATTCCTGGTGCACTTGCCCAGGGAATTACCCATGTGTGTGTTTAGCGTATAAAATCCTAGACCCCACACACTGAGGCAGAATCTCACCCTACTTAATGCAAGTGAATGTGTGAGAACCATTGGGAGAGCCAATGACAAGACGGAAAAAGGGAGAGTGGAGAACAGGTGGTCTTAGTAAGTCTGTAGCATCCTTTCTCAATTGCTATACAATCTGGGCCCCTTACGGCACTATGGAGTAATGGGAGAGCAGCAGTGTGAGTGTTGGGGTGGCTCTGGGCAGCTGGAGCTTAATGACTTGGGCCTGGGAGGGGTGGTGGGCAGCAGATGCCTGCAGGACAGGTTCTTGGTCCCGACTCTGGCTGTGTGACTGTGTTATGTCGTCACCCACTCCAGCTGCCTTTGTTACCTGTGGAATGACAGCGTTGGGTCCTATTAGTATGTCACGAAATGGTTTTCAGAGCACCTGGCCATGCTGGGAAGGACAGCAGTGAGCTCCAAACAGGGCTTTTCAACTGTCAGGCTCAACTCCCTCCTTTTAAACAAATATTTGTAATACTCTTCATTATCTTGAAGTCAGATTCATAGATCATTTATCCGGTGCACACATACACAATTAATACAGTGCCAAACCATAATACAAGAAAAAACAAAAGAAGTAATTTATATGTGTAGCTAAAACCCTTGGGTACCACTGTACCTGAATACATAGTAAAGTGCCAGATTCATAGAATAGGTGTGAACGAACAGCAGTAAAAGCAGACCAGAACAGGTGTGTTATACTGGTGACACGCACACCACGAGCTGTGATGTAATTCTCTTGGTAAATTTCTGAACTGAACCAAGTATAGGCTCCACTAATCTGGTAGTCACATTCCTGGGAAATTCAGCATACATTAAAGGTCTGTGAAAAAAAATTGTGTGTGTGTTTACATGCAGGAAAGAGTGAACTTTTTATAATTAGGCTCTTGCTAACGTGGATATCTGGTGGGGCATTTGGAAGTCATTTTTTTCTTCATTGTGTGGGACTGTTTTGAACATTACAGGGCATTTAGCATCTCTGGCCACTGTCTGCTCAACCAAATTGTTCTCACAAATTTCAAACAAATGGTCCATGTAAGGAAAATTGCTAGACATTGTTAGACAAGAGAGAATGGAGATGATAGCTCCTTCCCTGCAGAGAGTGAGAGCTGACCTGAAGAGGCATTGGGGCACACTAGTGATGTGTCTGACCTGTTAGCTCCTCTGCAGCCTCAGCTTCTCCTCCATGTACCCTGTGTGCTGGCCACATGGCCTCCTCTCAGTCCCCTTACTCACCTACCTGTCCCTGTCACACAGCCCACACATTCATCCAGCAGTTTGGAATGTTTGCCTTCCTGCTTCCCTGTGTTTGCTCCTGCTCATTTCTACTTGACACAAGAGTAGCTAAAGGCACAGGTTCTCTGTTTGAAGTTCTATTCTGCCACTTGCTGATGAGCTCGGTCACCTGGGTAAAGTTACTTCACCTCTCTGTGCCTCAGCTCCATTATAAAATGATGATATAATAGTAATAACTATCAGAATAATTATAACAACATGAAAGCTGTTTTGAAGGTATAAACAGTGCATGTGAAGCACTGAACAGAGGGACTGGCACCCTAGGAAACGTTCAAGAAGCATGAGTGATTTCTATAACTTCTGGCTTAAGTAGTGCTTCCTCAAGGACCCCATCCACCCCAGACCTTACTAAGCAGATCAGATCCATCTTGTGTTTACCCTCACGGCCTTGAGTACTTTCACTTCAAGGTACTTGTTGTTGTAGCTTTATGCTTCTCCAAATCACTTACTTCAGCCTCCACCTCTCTAGTCCATACCTGTTAGAGGACAGGGCTTATTTTAAATTTTCTTACTGAAGAGCATACCTGTCACAGGGTAGGTAAGTAGGTAGCCAAAAGGATGGATGGGTGGGTGGATGGATGGACGGATGGATGGTGGGTGGATGGATTGTAGGGTGGTGGTAAATACACATTTGGCAGTTTCTGATAGCACATTCCCCCATGTGCCTTCTTACCTCTAAGCTATGCATTTCTTACCTTTTAAAAATGTTTGTCCTTCCTCTCTCTGTTTCTTAATGCCCTCTTATTAAATATTCACTGTTAAAGTGGCAGTTGGAAGCATTATTTAAAAGGGAGGAGGATAACTCTCAGACGCTTACTAAGCACTGACTGTATGCTGAATACAGTACTAGGAGTGGGAAAAATGAATGGTGGAGTCTACTCTAGTGCAACTCGCAGTTCAGTCGTGGGAAACAAGCATGTTGAAGTTGCCTAGAATGAAGTTCTGTGGTATCATGTTGGTACTAAGCCTTGGATTTGTGGACGGTGAGGGAAGAGGCATCTCCTTGGAAGGAGGGAGAAGGGTCAGAGGCTTACAGGAAGAGGGCCATAAGCTATGTCTTGAACGGAAATAGGTACTGAACTGCGTAATGTTCCCAACAAAGGCAAGGAGCAGCATTCACAACTGGGAAGCAGCTTCATGCTTCTGGAGGAGCATGAAGTGCTCACTTCCTTCCCCCCAGGATAGACCTCCTGGCCAGCCTTGTACTGAATTAAATTATGGCTATGTATAGCTTGTAGTTTCCTTCCAGGTCTTAACTTAGGTAGCACTAGTGCCCCTTTGTGGAAGTAATGACAAGTGAAGACACTGCACACAGGATCAGGGAAATGCAATTTCAAGGACCCTCTGAGTGTCATCAATAGGACTTAACACTTTGTTGAATTGGACACTCTGGCTTCTTCAAAAGTTAGTGATTTTATTCTATTTAATAGCTTTGGATATGAGAATTGCCTATTTAAATGCACATATATGCATTCACCCGACTCTTCAAAGACAAAGCAAAAAGAACCTAAGTGAGAAACTTAAACTTTAGCCACAGTTTGCTCTTGAGAAGGATCTGGGGAACATCTAGAAATTTATGTTAGTTCCATCACTCCTGATGTGAATGAGGTGACCACCCCTGACAACCCATGAGATGCACTTTCCTTCAGAGTTAGGAGTTGTTCTAGGCTGACTCTGCTTCTTCTTATGTCTGTAATAGTGGGAACGAGCTCCATGCCTGAGCCATAAATGGAGATTTCAGTTCTTTTTTATGTAGGCCTTATAAGAACCAGGGATTCCAAACTAACCCTCAACACTTTTGAAATGTTACGAGAAAGTAAGCACTTACCTTTGATAACATCACCCAGGCTAATCAAGCCAGTGTTTCAAACCAAAAACTGTTTGTCTTATGGGAATACAAAACTCTACAAGAGTCACAGATGTCAGTTGTCAGTAAAAACATGGAAAATACTTATTAATTACCTAGAGCTTATGAGATGAGTACAATTTTCTGAAACACGGGGTTTATAGAACCAATAATAATTTCTTGACCTAAAGTTTGATAACCCCTAATTAGGGTTTCAACACTCTTCTAGTTCTCTGATTTTTAACTTGTTTACAAGTTTACTTGTAATTTTTAAACTTGAGAAAAGTTAGAAATATGAAAGAATGCTTTAAAAACTTTTTTTAAATCCTTTAAAAGTCTACTTGATTTTTCATTTTGCTTGATCAACAGCTGCTGTTTGCCCTCCACTCAGTCACCAATCCTGAGGTCTTTTTTCCTTGTTTGTTCTCTGACTTAACAGGCATGATCGACAATCTGCTGTCCCCAGATCTTATCGATGGCATGCTCACCAGACTGGTCCTTGTCAATGCTGTGTATTTTAAGGGTTTGTGGAAATCCCGGTTTCAACCTGAGAACACAAAGAAGCGGACATTCATGGCACCTGATGGGAAATCCTATCTAGTGCCAATGCTGGCCCAGCTCTCTGTGTTCCGGAGTGGTAAGTCCATGCTGGGTGAGGCCTGTTCTAGAAAGTGATGGTGGCAGAAAGGCTCTTGAATGCTTTGACTTAATTCAAGAGCAGATCTTAAGTCAGGTGTGGTGGTGCATACCTGAAATCTCAGCTACTCAGGAGGCAGTAGCAGGAGGATCACTAGCTAGGCTAGTTCCCTGGCAAAGTTATCTCGACAACAAAGTTAAAACAACAACAACAAAAAAGAAAGGCTGGAGGCAAGGCTCAAGGGTTAGAGCACTTGCTAGCAAGTGCAAGGTCCTGGATTCAATCCCCAGTACCACAGAAAAAGAAAGAAAAGAAAAAGCGAATCTTGTTATTTAAAACAAACAAAAAGTGAAGCAGGGTGCCTGAGGCTCACACCTGTAATCCTAGTTACTGGGAAGCTGAGACCAGGAAGATCACAGTTCAAGGCCAGCAAATAGTTCACAAGACGCCATCTCCAAAATAACAAAATGGACTGGAGGTGAGCTCAAGCAGCCTGCTTTGCAAGCACAAAGCCCCACTGAAAAAAAGACCAGGTACTGGGAGACAGGATTTTTAAAAATCAAATGGACTACAAGCAGTGACTTAACATTTAAGAAGAGAGGAAGCCAAGCATGGTGGTGCATACTTATAATCCCAGCACTCAGGAGACTAAGGCAGGAGGATCTTGAGTTCAAGGCCAGCCAGGGCTACATAGTGAGAAAGCTGCTTACATCAGAAGCTACTCTGTATTATCTCATTGAATTCTCATATAAAGTAAGTCCTCTTATCATCACATTTTACAGATTAAGAAACTAAGATTTTGAATTAAGGAGTTGCTGAGATCACTGAGCAAGTGTGCTGTATAAGCAGGCTTTGAATCCAGGTCCTGTAATACCAGAGCACACGTCCGTAGCCTCAGCCCTTGTCTTCTGTGAGAGCAGTACTGAGTTCCTAGGTGGAAAGAGAGGAGAGGTGTTCACTCATCTCCCAGCTCCTTGAACCACCAGGCACCAGCTTCTGGAGGTAGAGGCTGAGCCAGGCAGAGATCAGTCAAGCAGATGTGAGTGGCCACATGCAGAATGGTTTTACTGATCAGTAATGGCGTATGCAGCCAAGGATGGGTTAACGGGGGAGTGAATGTGTTACTTCCCCAACTCATACTTTTTCATTATCCACAGCCTCAGTCCACTTTAACACTTCTGAAGTAGTTAGTGCCTCCAGGTCCTTGCGTGAGGCCCTGGAGCAATAATTTATTAACTGCTTCCCAAATTTCACAGTTTCTAAAAATTAGCTCTGCCAGAGTAGGGACTTCGTGTTGTCTGCAAGGATTAAAGAGCTCATTAGGAGGTGATTTTTCTCACTCTCTCATTGATTTTTCAGTTTCTTCTGAGACCATTTTATTACGCAGGCTAAAAAGTAAAGATAAAGAATCCTAACTTTGATTCTTAGGGAGTCCCAAGACAGGAGCCAGGCTGGCGTGAGTTCACGTGCATCCTGAGCTGAGGCAGCTGTCCTGGGTTCCTGAACCACCCTCCAGGGCATTGCAGGGCATGGGGACCAGTGGACACCAAGCAGCCACCCACTACCAGCACTCTTGCTTGAGGAGAAACTAATGTCTTCCTGTAGTGTCAGATGTTCTAATGGCTTCAGTATTTTGCCATACTGCATGGCTGAAAGTGCTCACTACATAATGAAGGTCACTCTCTCTCCTTTGCTGTTCTTCTCTCTCTTCCTCTCTCCCTCTGCTCATCCCTCAAAACCCCTTCTGTGGAGATCTAGCCTGTTGAAGTTCCCTGACTCAAATACTGTGATTGTTAAAGGATGTCACCAAAATCCAGTGAAAATAAAAAAAGAAACTCGCTTTCTCTTTTCTCTCTTAACTATGCTGTCCTTCTTGATCATTTAGGGGAAGAGGAGAGGACTAACCATGGACCAGGCCCTGCTAAGTACCTTATATAATTATTTATTTATTTATTGTCATTTAATCATCACAGCTACCCTGTGAGGGCCACACTTTAACACACTGATGTCTCCACTGTGTGTACAGGGAGGCACAGAAAGGTGAAGTAACTTCACCACTTCACCAAGGCCACAGAGTTCATCTTTAAGTTTAAAAAAATATTTTAGAAATCCACCATAAATCTAGAAATGCTGGCTTTCCATCCATCTGGTTAATTTTTGTAGCTCATTAATTGCTTAATTTAAAGGCTTCATAGGCTCCTCAGGCATGCTCTGTGGAAAACCTTTCTCCATGGACTGGCTAATAGCCACTCTGGCCCCCTTATCATGAGCTGGGCAGCTTGCTGGTGCCCTTAATTATGGCTTTCATTCACTGGAATTGGGCAGTGCCCAGTTGTGTTGCTCAGTTGCTGTCTTGATCCATTTTCCATGGCTGTTACAAAGTATCTGAGACTAGGTAATAATTTATTTTAGAAGATAGAAGTTATATATTTAACTCATGGTTCTAGAGGCTGAGCAATCCAAGAGTTTTCACCCATTGAGGGCCTTCTCACCATAACCTGGCCTCACACATATCATGTTCTGAGCAAGCATACCAGCTCAGGTCTTTCCTCCTCCTCCCCCTCTTCTATTTTTTTTTTTTTCCCGTACTGGTGATTGAACCCAGGACCTGGCACATGCTAGGTAAACACTCTACCACCTGAGCCACACCTTCAGCCCTTTGTTTATATTTCATGCTTTGCCAAGACTGGTACTGAACTTGCAATCCTCTTTCCTCCACCTCCCAAGTAGCTGGAATCACAGGCATGAGATGCCATATTGACTTTCTCTCCTTTATTTATTGATGCCATTATAAGGGCTCCCCTCTCATGATCCCAGTTCAGTCCTCTGGAAGGTCCCCTCCTATATCATCAACATATGAATTTAGGAAATAAGTTTCTAACACAGGAATTTAAGGGAACACATTCAAACCATAGCAGTTTCTAATATTTTGAATATTTCACATGGAATAAAAAGTGTCATAAGATCAAATTAGCTTGAGAATGTGGGGATAACTAGAATTAAGCACTTGGTTTTGGTATGTCTTAGAGCTTTACAATACTGATATAGATAAGGGATCTGCAGGAAGATACCAACATCCAATGCCTCCTAAAGATTCTAGGCTATGGAATCTGCCTTGCCTGCAGAGTGTCTTGCAGGTAGAATATGCTCTGTACACTGTTTTGAGAATGCTAATTTAGATAATTCTTGAGTTTTCTTTAGGATGCAAAAGTTATCATAAAATAACTTAAAATCCCTAATAGCGGTTACCAGAGCTGGTGCAGCATGAGCAGGGAGTCAGGACAGTGAAGAAGACAACTACTGGCCCTCTACATTCACAGCCACGGGCCCCTTGACAAGTCCCTTGCTGTTTCCAGTTGCAGCCTCTTTCTGTAAAAGAGGGCTGGTCATATACCATAGGGTGCTGACAATTCTAAATGTATTAAAGTAGCTGGTAAGGGTCTAGCAGAAAAAAGCCATTCATCTGCTTCCTTTTCCACACTAACACATAGGAATTATCCCAAATGAAGACTATAAATAATGCAATTAAATGAGATTTGAGATTGCTGCTGGAAGAGTGGATTTTAGTTCTTCTTGTCACCTGGAAATAACACCCAAAAAAAGAGTAACTGTATGAAATAATGGATATGTTTATTTGCTTCATTATAGTAGTTGTTTTGCTACCTATATGTATCCCATAGCATCAAACCTTAGATATACACAATACAATTTATGTGTTAAAAAGTAGTAAATTAAAAAAAATTCTTATAAGGCAGCTTAAATTCATTCTTTTATCCATAGAAAGGTCAACTTCTTGCAAAGCATTGTATGCTGAGTACCTAATGATGGTTAAATTCTGCTCAGCAGAATCAAAGTGAGTTTCATGATGCCCAAAGGCATTCTGTCTAGACTGAAGAAAGAAAATTCTGCACCAGGGAAGAAAGAAAGCACTGTCCTTATCTTTGTCCTTCTGAGGAAACCAACTGTGGAAAAGGGAGGTTCTCCCACTGAATTGCTCTTTTCCCTCTGAAGCTCACTTGGTGAGCCAGCAAGTGCTTGTGCTCCTTCTAGAAGTCACCAGGCATGTGCTGAACCTGCCTCTGATTTATTTAGGGTCTACACGCACCCCCAATGACTTATGGTACAACTTTATTGAACTGCCCTACCACGGGGAGAGCATCAGCATGCTAATTGCGCTGCCCACCGAGAGCTCCACCCCTCTGTCTGCCATCATCCCTCACATCAGCACCAAGACCATCGACAGCTGGATGAGCACCATGGTGCCCAAGAGGGTGCAGGTGGTCTTGCCCAAGTAAGTGCCCCTTCCCTAAGAGAATATAATGCATTGTTCAGTCAGGAGCCATTGTGTCCAGTATCAGAAATGTGAGGCTAAGATATCCATGCCTTGAGGCCTGTTCTACTTTGTAGGAAGTGCATGGTAGGAATATAAGGCTATGTTTTTCTGAAAGCTTTCTCTCCACCTCTGTGCTTCTTATATGGTTGGATAATGATGATAAGGAAGGAAAGAAGGCAGTTTTGGTCTGCTATCATGACTATAGTTTCTTCATGACCCTGTGACAATTTAATATATCTCATTCTATTAAAAAACTGAAAACACACGCATATCATTGTATAGTATAGATGAAAAAAATACAAGGAAGTATAAGGGAGACCTGTATGTTTGGTAAGGAACTTTATTTTGGTTATTTAAGCTTCATCTAGAAGTTATTAAAGACCATGACCCAAACACTAGGTGGGAAATACACATGTCAGAACTACCAAGGCAGAATTTTTATGTTGGTTTTTAAGGCAGTTCTTCTATTATACCTTAAAAGTAAAATATACATGGAATTTGAGCTGTCTGACTTGAAGCCAAGGGAAAAGTAATCCCAAATTCTGTGTGTGTCCTGATTTCTAACAGGTTAGAGAATACTTTGTCCAAGCCTGTGGAGAAGGCAATGAATGTGGTTCACTTTCTGTGAATTTTTCAACATTATCTTTCTCGCAACTATTCACCCCTGGTGGTAGTGTAAAATTCCAATAGCCTTTGATTCCCCAGTCACTGAGTCAAGTGATCAGAGTAATACATTTACAACAAGTATTAGTATACCTCCCAAGATTTTTCTTTTGGAAAAATAAGCCTTCAAGTAGGCAGTGCTCAATGTAAGTGAACCATATAGTGACATCCTGGCCTCCATGGGAGAAGAACAGGCAGATCACCACTGCTACCCATCTGTGGTGAGAATCTGTTCACCTTCTCTTGCTGCTCTTCAGATCAAATCTAATGAAGCAAGCCAGGCGCCCGTGGCTCACACCTGTAACCCTAGACTCAGGAGGCAGAGATCAGGAGGATTGCAGTTCAAAGGCAGCCCTGGGCAAATACTTAGCAAGACCCTATCTCAAAAAAACCATCACAAAAAAAGGGCTGGTGGAGTGGCTCAAGGTGTAGGTTCTGAGTTCAAGCCCCAGTACCATCAAAAAAAAATCTAATGAAGCATCTTCTGATGGTAGGCTTAATAACTGACATTTAAATGTACATATATGACCAATTAGCCACAAATATACAAGAAACTCATATATACCTAAATATAATACCATGTCCCCTGTTCCTAATGCTTGCTCATGTTTTAACAGTGAAATGCATTCAGAATCCCCACACATACTACAAGGAAAGAATCTCCTCTCTTGACCATCTCAACTGCCAGAATCATGGCGGTTCTTTAGTTGTATATGGGGAAGAACTATAGATACTACAGAGTACCAGGGCTAGTTTAACAGTCTGAACCTTTACATCAGTGTAAGAGAAAGGGCTTATGTAGCTCTTCATAAGTATAGAAGTAGGGAGCCTTTTGCACATGAAGGAGAGAACACCCATACTTCTTGTAAGGAGAAGAATTGTTCTCTACCCATATTTAAATTTTAGAATTAAAAGTCAAGATACAATTCAGATTGGTGTTCAGGTCTTACTTTTTAAAGAGTCTTTTTAAATATACACTGATTATATCATTTTGTCTCATTTATAGCCTTGTGGTTTTCTCTCCCTATTTTTTGCTTTAATGTAGGTTCACAGCTGAAGCACAAACAGATCTGAAGGAGCCACTGGAAGTTCTTGGCATCACTGAGATGTTTGATTCATCAAAGGCAAACTTTGCAAAAATAACAAGTATGTCCAATTTGAAACTTACTCAGAAACTTGAAGAAAATGTTAGAGTCTCTGATATGTTCAAAGAGAAAAGATCAGAATTAGAAGTGTGTTGCTGTAAAATTTCCAAGTTTTAATTTGGTGTGTCACCAAGTGATGCTATTATCCTTCTTCATCATTTAAATCAGCATCCTTTATCATTGAAATCAGCATATGTCATTCATCCCTGCATTTCAGGTGTAAATTTGCCTCTGTCACCTAAAATTTTGACCTTCTTCCTCCTTCCTTCCCTTTCTTTTCCCCCCTCCCTTGCTCCCTTTCTTTTCTTTCTTTCCTTTTTTATTTATTTATTTGTGGTGTGTGTGTGTGTGTGTGTGTGTGTGTGTGTGTGTGTGGCACTGGGGAATGGAACCCTGGCATGCTGGGCAAGCTTTTTTACAACTGAGCTACATCTCCAATCCCAAAATTTGGCTTATAGCTAGATATTAGTCTCTTTTTTCCAATGCAAGTTTTTATCTTGGGCTTGAAAAGAGTCAAGATTTTTTAGTTCTCAAATACTTGTTTACTCCACTGTAGGCATGTAAACTGAACATATATTTTGGCATTTTAAGACCATTGATCTGCAGTAACATATGTTCAAATGAGTATGATTAGAACTTTTCTTTCCAGAGAATCTAAGACAGCTCTGGTATCATGTCCCTTCATTTGTGAGTCTATTTAACTTTTTCTAGGGTTGTTTGAATAGCCAGTTCTTTGCCTTTTAAATTTAGAACACAGAAACCTCCTTCCAAAGAAAAGTCATGGCATGTACATGGTGTACAATTTAGTTTTTACTTTTCCCCTTGACTGAAAGGAAATTGGTTCATTACCAACCCCAAATAGTCAACACCAAGTACCTGTACTGGGACAAGCCCAGTCCCCTTGCTGGAACCACAGCTTTGTGGATATTCTGATACCCTATGAGTGTGTTCCCTTGTGGATCACACTCTGATCCCAAGTCTGAAAGCAAACCTGACCTGGAAGCTGTTGAAAATGTACAACCTTAGGTCTGATTTAGCCCTACTAAATCAGAATCTTCATTTTAACCAAGCCTTCCTCTTTCCCCTTCAGGGTCATCCACTGTAGTCTAAACAGTTAAATAGGAGGTGTTCACAGAGAGGGTAAGGTATCTCAAATGCTCCCAAGACAAGCTCTTTAACCTTGCAAGTGATGTGGCCCTGTAAACATGCATCTTAGTTACAATAATCTTAGGAGCCCTGAGCATCGGTGCAGACGACTCAAAAACCAGATGACACAGAAAGCACTTTTCCCCTCTGCATCCAGACCCATGTCCCATCAGGCTAATGGTAACTGCAGTTGGCATGCTTCTGGAAAGTTCCACCCCATACGCACTGCTGGGTGCTTGGGCTATGGAGAGAAGGAAAGTGAGTTCTAAAAGCCCCCAGGCACAGCTGCAATTCTGCGCCCAGCCCTCCCTGGGAGTCCAAACTTTGCTCACTTTCATTGTCCTTGTCACTAAAATGCCAATCCGTGAGATGAGTGACTGGTGTTGTGGAAAGCCAGCACCCACTTCTGCTACTAAACTAGCCATATGATTTGGGGAAGACATCTTTTTTTATTAGCATATAATAGTTGTACAGGGGGATATATTGTGACATTTACTTATGTACTTACACTATATCTTATTCAGATTCACCCCTCTATTGTTCTCCCTCATTCCCCTTCTTAGAACAATTCCAGCAGGTTTCATTATTCTATTTTCATACATGAGTACAAAGTACATCCACTATATTTACCCTTCTTCACCCTTTCCTTATATCTTCCCCCCTCCCCCTGGTGCCCACTCCTACAAAGGACCTGTTTTTCTTTCTGTCCTTTATTTTTTTTTAATATGTGTTGATAGTTCAAGGGAGTTTTGCCTTGGTATTTCAGACATTTATATATTGTACTTTAATCAGATTAACCTTGAAGGCAGATTTCTTAACACTCTGGGCCTCAGTTTCCCCATCTGTAAATGCTATCTCAAATCGTTTCTGGGCCTAATAGTCTGTAACTGAAAAATAATATTGTTGTCTTGCTTCTTCTGTAAAACTGGGCTTCCTTTTTACTGTTCTGTTCTTTTCATTTTAAAAATAAAATTTAGAGTTGAATTGATTAGAGGCACTTACAGCTGAAGACTAGGCCTGCCTCTGAGAAGTGAGTATCAGAGTTCATTTAGCAGAGATTAAAACTTACCACAAGTATAGCCACCTGGAGCCCTCAGTCTTCAGGGCTGTTGGAGTTGACTTCTAACCCAATTCTTTTTAAGAACCAAAATTTGCCATGGCTTTGAGGGTATTTCCCCAATCAAATGGATGGCATGCATGTCAAACAAAGACTGACTTTGTGTTATTTTCTGGGAACAGGGACAGAAAATCTTCATGTTTCTCAAATCTTGCAAAAAGCAAAAATCGAAGTTAGTGAAGATGGAACCAAAGCTTCAGCAGCAACAAGTAGGTGCTGGGTCATATGGCAGGGTTGGTTCGAGTAAGGAAGCAGACACATTCCAGTTCCTTCTAAAGAACCCTTTTTCTAGCTGGGCACTGGGGCTGGTCCTTGGGAAGCAATAGTGAGTATGAGCAGATCAAGTGTTTCATTAAAAAAAAAAAATCATTTAAGCCAGAAGCCAGTGGCTAATACTATAATCCTAGCTACTTGTGGAGGGGGGCGGAGGGATTGAGATGGGGAGAATCATGGTTCAAGACCAGCCTGGGCAAAAAAGTTTGTGAGACCTGAGCTTAGCTGAAAAAAGCTGAGTGTGGCAGTGCATGCGTCTCATCCCAGCTACCACAGGAAGCCTACAATAGGACTGCAGTTCAGGCAGGTCTAGGCAAAAAACAAGACCCTATCTCCAAAATAACCAGAGTAAGAAAGGCTGGAGGCATAGCTCAGATAGTAGAGTGCCTGCTTAGCCCTCAGTTCCCAGTACCACTAAATAAAAAAGATTCAAGTGAGGGACATTTCTAGAGGAATTGCTAACAAGAGTCATCAACATCTGTGAAGAGCTGGGGAGTGTGTACTTTGGGCACCGTACTGTGATCACCACCACAAGTCTGTCATTATAGTGTGAAAGCAGCCGGAGGCAGTACAAGTGAATGGGTGTGTCTGTTCCAATAAACCTTTATTTATAAAAACAGGATGTGATCCTACAGACTTGGCCTGAAGACAGTAACTTTTTGGCCCCCCGGGCTCAGGAAGATAAGCATATTCTGGCTTCTTATTGACAGGAGAGACCCATCTTCAGATTGAAACATAAAATAGCAGTGCATCCTTATAGGAGAATAGCCAGGCAGGTCTCTCAGGACAAAGTGAAAAATTAGCAAGCATCTGTTGGATTGCAGCAGGATTGCAGCGCAGCCTTTCTTGATCAGTGGAACATCCACATCTGCTTTCTCCTTCATGGCTTATAAAATGCATGAGAAAGTAGAACAACCCTAAGTCAGTCCCCTGTCCTCTCAGTTGTCCATGTGAGATTGGATGAAGAGATGAGGTCAAATCTGTGAGCTCATAAAGTGAATAATAGAGCTGCCTTTACAGGTCAGTTGAATATTTCTGTTTATTAAAAGATGTCATTTATATCATAATAGACACCTCATTTCCTTTGGGGTTTTTTATTCTCTTAAAATAGCATTTAAACTGGGTATGGTAGTACATACCTGTAATCCTATCATTTGGGAGGCTGATGCAGGATTGTTACTTTGAGACCAACCTGGAATACATACTAAGTTTCCAGCCAGGTTGGGATAGATAATGAGGCCCTGTCTCAAAAACCCAAAGGTTGGGTGGGTCCCAGCACCAAAAATTAATTAATTAAAATAGTATTTAAAATGAAGACCAAGAATAAGAGATTTGGATTTTCAAGATGCCTTTTGTCTTTTCTAGGTATTTATAAGTGACATCTAAATTTTGCCAAAGTTACTGACCAGTTTTGCCAACTAGTATGGCAATCCTTCCACATAATTTGTGGGGCTTTGTGTAAAATGAAAATGTGGAGTTCCTTGTTCAGTGTGTGTTAGGAATTGAAGGCCACAACAGCAGAGTGCTAACCCAAATACAGGGCCCTTGTCACCACCCAGGTCCTGATGGCAAAGGAAGCCTAAACAATGGACTAAATGAGAAGGCACAGATCCTGCAAACTGAGAATTTTGAGCTGGGCCTGCATGTACAGAAAGGATATGGATAGGTTAAAAATGCCCAGGGTGGGCTGGAGGTATGGCTCAAGTGGTAGAGTACCTGCTTTGCAAGTGCAAAGCCCTGAGTTCAAAACCCACCTCCACTCCACCAAAATAACAACAACAAAAAAATGGCCAGGGGGCTTCATCAGCACAGCAGATGGTATGAATAAAAATAGGTAATGGTAACAGTAAGCACACGTTGGGTGTTCAATTAGTGCAGTCACTGTTCTAAGAGCTGTAACATGCTTTATGTCATTTAATCATGATAAAAAGTCTAGGAGGAATAAGTACATTTATTAGAGAAAGTAGAGCTTTTGTAGAACACATAGACAGAAACTGTGAAAGGCCTGAGTAGATGTTTAATAAGTGGTGATCAGTGAGGCCATGTAGCACAGCCAGCCTATGGGACAGGGATTAAAGTCCTGAAACACCAGTGTCTGAGCGACCTTCAGGCTAACTACCTTGCTGGTCTTATGCTGGATGTCTAACACATTGTCCTTTTCTTCCCATAGCTGCAATTCTAATTGCACGGTCATCACCTCCCTGGTTTATAGTAGACAGACCCTTTCTGTTTTTTATCCGACATAATCCTACAGGTAAGTGGTTCTCTTCCAATCTGTACTGGATGTTGGTATTCAGAGAGGAACATTCTAGTCATAGTTGCGTCCAGCAGCATTGCCCTTCACCTGTTTCCCTCATGTCAACAGCAAACACTGAACAATAGAACCAGCCCCGTTAAAGACAGGATAATGAAGGTTGTGTTCACAGAGTGGTACAAAGTACTTTAAATACTGATAGGATTTTAGGTTTGGGGTTTGTTGTTGTTTTTAACATATAGAGAGGTTCAGCATCCCTTTGGGACACTTGACGTCTATTGATTTTTTTCCATATTTTTATAAATGCATTAAATTTTGCAAGATTTACATGTGTTCGGCCTTTGCAAGCCCACTGTGTCCTATGACCTGAAAATTGTGAATTTGATAGATTGTAGCTCCGCAAGTCTTAGATTCAAACTTGGCTCTGGCTTCCAGCAAAAAAAGGATAATGATGGTTCCTTCCTGTTAGTACATTATGAAGTATAAAGTTCTTTGTGGAGAGGTTGACTCCACAAAGTCATAGAGTAGGAACTAATATATTTTGGGTTTGACTACTATTTTAATAAGAAGATAGTTCCTTATCCTTTTATCTAATTGCATCTCTAATGTCCTAAATTAGTACACTTCAGAACTGAACTGTTCAATACTGGATCTTTTAGGTATGTGTGTGGCCTTAACTTTAAATTAGTTAAAATGAATGTAGTTAAGAATTCAACTTCTTAGTCATACTAGCCACGTTTAAGCACTCCGATTGCCATCTGCGACTAATGGCTACCATATTGGACAGTGAGGATATGGGCTATGGGCCATTTTTATACTTGCAGGAAGTCCTAATTGCACAGCAATAAGTGAAACATGGCTTCTTTCCTCCCCTTAAATACAACACCTTTCATCTTATCTTACAGATTGTTCTTTTGTAGAGTCATGCATTATTTCTTTTTAATGCTCTAGGTGCAGTCTTATTCATGGGGCAGATAAACAAACCCTGAAGAACATATAAAAGAAACCATGTAAAGTGATGATGACTTTGCTATGAAGAAAACACTCCTTTCTTACATCTTTCATAGTTCTGTTAAATATTTTTGTACATTGCTTTCTTTTTCAAAACTAGTTCTTAGCAACAGACTCAATAATGCAAGCATTTCTGTTCTGGGAGGCATTAGAAGAAAGGGCATGGTGGCTGGATCACTGTATTGAGGAATGAATAGAAAGCCTTCAAAGATGTCTAAAAGATTCTTTAAACTACTGAACAGTTACCTAGGTTAACAACCCTCTTGAGTATCTGCTGTTTGTCCAGTTCAGGATTTTTGTTTTGTTTTGTTTATATGTGTGGCTTTCCAGGAGAAATTTAATCAATGTGATAGAAAAGGGGAAAAAATGACATTTTTATGGTAGTTTTTATGTTTTTATGGAAACATTATTTGTCTTTTTAATTCTTTTTCCCACCTCCATCCAAAGCCTTGATAGCAAACATTATGATTTTGGGGGTGGAAATAGCAAAATCTTCAGCCTCTGTGTGTTTTTTGTTGTTGTTTATATAATGCATGTATTCACTAAAATACAATTGAAAAAACAAATGTCTTGCTAGACAAGGTTTGCTGTTGTGCAGTGTGCCTGTCACTACTGGTCTGTACTCTCTGGATTGGCATTTTTGTATTTTGTACAAAGTAAAAATAAAGTGTTATGAGTAGTAAAAATTTAAAAATTGCCATTTCTCTGCTATTTGAAAATAACAAAAGAAACAGCCTTTAAAAAAATACTCCTCTTCTAATGAGCCGTTTCACTTAGCGCTACAATAAGAAATTCAAAGCCTCTGAAGTTTTTCTGTCCTTTTCCTCTAAATCTGATAACCAAACACTATTCCTTGCTTCAGCAGTCTATAGATCACTTAAAGGGGGAACTCTTAAACTAGTCCCAGGTCTAATGTGAGCTACTGTGCACTCGAGTGGTGGCCAAGTATTTTCAGCAAAGATGTGGATTTTGTACAAGTACAGAAAAAAGTGACTGGGGACTGACGTATTTTGGAAATCAGAGTGACCCAGTGAATGAGTGTTTGGTTTTTGAAATGACAATTTTTGTTTCATTTTTTGGAATAATTTTCCAAGTTGAATTCAAGCATCACAATTATGTTACTATTTGCCTGGTGTTTCAAAGCTAATTTCCTACAAGTATGTAGTTTTAACTGAATCAGAATAGTTTAAAACATTTCTTATCAAAACTTAAAAATATATTGCTTTTTTTTTTAGCTCAAATGCTACTTGTCACTCTTTAACTTTACACTAAAACATCACATCCACATTCATTTTTTAAAAAACAGAGAACAGGAAGGTAAAACAGATCCTGTCTAGGGGTTAACACCAGTGGGAGGAACAGGATATAAAGAGGAGGGTGAATGAAGTAAAATTATGTACTCATGTATGAAAATGGAAAAATGAAATCTGATACTATCCCAGGAATGGGGGAAGGGGGAATAAAGGAGAATAATGGAGGGGGTGAATTCACCTATGGTATATTGCAAGCGCTTTTGCAAATGTCACAATGTACCCCCTGTAAAATAATTATATGATAAGAAGAAGAAGGAAAAATCACATTCATCATTCCATCTATTTGTCATTCTTATTTGTAACTATAATTCTTATTTGTTATTTGCAACTATTTAATTATATACTTCAGCAAACCAAGAGAGAAGGGAGATAGGGGAGAACTGTTTTTCCTATTTGGGAGTAAATGCCAAAAAAAAAAGAGAAAAAAACAATCTTGAATGCTTCCCTCAGGCCACATATATTCTACCCAACATGCTAATTGTTGTTGATGTCTGCTGGAGCCAGCCCTGCTGGGGTTGCTAGCATTCTGCTCCAATCCAATGTTATTCTAACAGTTTAAGTAGTGGTAGTGTTGGCAGTAAAATGAGAATTATATACTTCATGCATTATTTATTTAAGTATTTTATTGTTCAGGGGTTTCCAAAGAAACAGAACCAATTGGATAGTTACAGATAGGAGAGGGGATTTGTTATGGGAATTGGCCCACATGATTTTGGAGGCTGAGAAGTTCTTCAATATGTCATCTGCAAGCTGGAGAAACAGGGAAGCTGGTGGCAAGCTCAGTCAAGTCCTAAAGTCTGAGAATCAGCCATAATGTAATTCACAGTCAGAGGCCAAAGGCCCAAGACCTGAGATTCTGATGTCCAATGTCAAGACGGGTGTCCCTGCTCCAGAAGAGGGAATGAATTTGCCTTTCCTTTGCCTTTTTGTTCTGTCATGCCCTCAAGTGACTGAATGATGCTCACCACACTGAGTGAAGGCAGGTCTTCCTTAGTTCACTGATTCAAACACCAGTCTCTTCTGGAAACACCCTCACAGGTATACCCACAAATAATGCTTTACTAACTAGAGAGCCATCCACTCCTTACTCCTGTCAAGTTGACACCTAAAATTAATCATTACAAGTGCTACCAGCTAGCAAGTACCAGAGGCTGCAGAGACATATATGTCTTTTTCCCAAGCAATTTAATCTTAGGAGGGAAAGAGACCATCTCAGCACAGCAAAGTATTTTACTACCACAAATGCATTCACAAGTCATGGAAGTAGGACAAATAGGGTACGACACTAAGAGAGAAAATGCACACATAGCTGCAGGGTCAGAGATCCCTGGTCTCTTGACACCCTCAGTGCTCACTCCAGAAAGGACCAGAAAGTTCCCATTTCTTACATAGCCAGACTGACCCTGGTATGTGTTCTAACGGAACTACTGCTCCCCAATAGTACACTAAGTCACATTTTACTGGACATATTAAATTTTGAACTCTCTAGTCCTATTTCTTGAGACCTCAGTGATTAATCATAAAATTTCAAACTTAAAAAATCATAATATCAAGGTTCCCAGATGACATATTCTGTTTTCACTTGATAATCCCAATTTACTCATCTTTACCCAGGCTAATCCTGGCTGATTTCAGGTACCTGTTAATAATCTCTAGACTTGGGGGGGGGTCTCTCAATTTCTAAATATATAACTCAACTTTTACCCTCTGATATACTTAAGTTAATGAGTCTACAGCCTTGTCTTCAAAATGTCAAATCTCTGAAAACTTTCCTTGAGGAAAACTGTGATAAATTTAAGCTATGGAGACTGCCACGAAAATTACAGGCCTGTGATAGACCATTTTTGTTCTGTAGACATGTTTGAGCAAACAATTTACCACAGATTAGATTCCACACTGAGTTTAAGCAGGAGACAGGCTGCAATTTTTCTACAGTAACAAAATGGTAGACCTATGAAAAACTGAGCCAACCACCAGGGAAGTCACTCTTTTGACATTTAATGAGAAGGGTACTTTCAGTTCTGCCTGAGACATGATGGAAAAAGAAAGCAGGCATTAACCTACACATATTGAAAGTTCTATGTCTTACTGGCCTTTTGAGACTTTGTCCTAAAAAGGAGATAATGACAGATGACCTGGAAAAAATTGCAATCACAAGAGAACTTTACAGAAAGGTACAGGGAGTGTCTGTTGTGCCAATAAGTGACACACGAGCTTCATATTGAGGGAGCTGAAGTAGGAACACCAGCAATTCACTCTAAGCCAACAGAGCAGTAAACGCCCCTTACTAGGACTGATGAGTGGTGACAGCTGAGAGAGATGAGGCCTGGATAAGCAGCAAGTGTCATCTGTGTCCTTAGCCTCCTATGAATCTTGAAATACAATGACTTGACTTCTCAGGAATTTACTCTGAGGCTGAGTGGAATCCACCACTAGTTTTGAGGTCCCACCACTAGTTTTGAGGTCCCATTTTTTTGGAGATTCCCAAACCATACCTTTTAGCCTCTTTCTCAAATCTTAAAGGAAATACAGATGGATTTAAGTGATAAATTTGCTAACTGAGAAATCATTGTTCATCATACCAAGTACAATGTCAGTGTTTTACAAATTAAGTCATTGAATATTAGGTAGCAAAATGGAAACAAATTTTTTCTTAGTGCTCTAAGCTCCTCCATCTTATGTTCATAATCCATGCTACCTAAGGTAAAAAGCAGCAGGGCAGAGTTTTGTGTCTGTCCTTCCTAGATAAGAAAACTATTCAAGGGCCAGGAACTGAGTCCAGGAACCGGCAGACATCTGGAGCCCTGTGAACATCATTTTCACTATTTTTGTCTCATTAACTGTAGGTATATTGTTAAATGTATACTGGTCCTTACTGACATGCTACATTGGTATGAAGGTGTTAATATCAATTTATGTAGAGGAAGCATCAGCTAAGGGTTTGGCAAGCTGGGCACCATGGCTCACACCCATATCCAAGCTACTTAGGAAGCTGCGATCAGGAGGATCACAGTTTGAGGCCAGCTCAGGCAAACAGTTCGAGAGACTGACTCTATCTCCAAAATAACCAGAGAAAAATGGATTGGAGGTGTGGCTCAAAAGGTAGAGTGCCTGCTTTGCAAACATGAAGCCCTGAGTTGAAACCCCAGCCTACTATAAAAAAAAAAGTCTGGCAAACATTTCTCTGACAGAAATATCCTCCTCTAGCTGTCAATGACCTTATGACTGACAGAGCAAGAGGATCAGAACAGAATAAACATATTAGTTCAGTTTGCAATTTTAATGAAAAACAGCTCTGATTAAAAAGTGTCTGAGTTCTTATTCAGTGGAAGGGAGAATTTTTAGTATTCTTTTTCTCCATTTCTTTCTCTCAGAAAATTTTTCTGAAGCCATGAGTCTTGCATGCTAGGGACACTGTGTGGCAATCAGGTAAATGAACAAGTTGAGGACCAGTGGGAAGCACAGACACTAATGTTAAACAGATTCTTTTTCAGGAGTATGCGTGCCTCTGATTGTGATTTTTTTGACTGCATGAATTTTCTCCTGGAAAAAGTTGTTCTTAGTTTGCAAGACAGTATTGAATCAAGCAATCATTCCTGGCAGCTATGGAAAGAACCAATGTCAAAAGCCACAACTCTGGGTCCTAGAGGACAGTGGTTGAGGGTCTTTACAAATTGAGATCTGGAGACATGATACAGAGATCAGCTAAGGGGAAGGAAAAAAAAGTTGAGTTTAAGAATATAGGTCTTGAAAAATGCTCAGCATCTCCAGCCATAAAGGAAATACAAATCAAAACCACACTAAGATTTCACCTCACCCCTGTTAGAATAGCCATCATCAAAAACACCACTAACAACAGGTGTTGGCGAGGATGTGGGGAAAAAGGAACCCTCATACACTGCTGGTGGGAATGCAAGCTAGTGCAACCACTCCAGAAAAAAAATTTGGAAGCTTCTTAAAAAACTAAACATAGATCTTCGATATGGTCCAGCAATCCCACTCCTGGGGATATACCCAAAGTAATGGGATACAGGCTACTCCAGAGGCACTTGCACACCCATGTTTATTGCAGTGCTATTCACAATAGGCAACTTATGGAAACAGCCAAGATGCCCCACTACTGACAAATGGATTAAGAAAATGTGGTACTTATACACAATAGAGTTTTACTCAGCCATGAAGAAGAATGAAATGTTATCATTTGCTGGTAAATGGATGGAACTGGAGAACATCATTCTGAGTGAGGTTAGCCAGGCTCAGAAGACCAAAAATTGTATGTTCTCCCTCATATGTGGACTTTAGATCAGGAGAAATACAGCAATGTTGTTGGACTTGGGTTATATGCTAAGGGGAGAGCACATACAGGAGGAATG